GATAAGTTAAATGGAGTACTCAATCATAGTATAGGGCTAGATAAATGGCCACAAGACTGCTAATAGCTCAGTAGACTGTAAGTATATTGCTTTAATGTTTAATGTTTTAATGTTTTTGTTCTTTTAACTATCATAATTATTGGTGTTTTGTATTTATTAGGCAGCATTGATTTGTTGCCAATTTGAAGCTGCCCTGAGTCCCCCCAGGGGTTTAGAAGGACGGGTAAAAGTGTTCAAAACAAACAAACAAACAAACAAATGAGGAAGATGTATTGTCGAAGGCTTTCATGGCTGGAATCAATAGGTTCTTGTGAGTTTTTTTGGGCTATATGGCCATGTTCTAGAGGCATTTTCTCCTGACGTTTTGCCTGCATCCATGGCAAGCATCCTCAGCGGTAGTGAGGATGCTTGTAGCATCTGAGGATGCTTGCCATAGATGCAGGCGAAACGTCAGGAGAAAATGCCTCTAGAACATGGCCATATAGCCCGAAAAAACTCACAAGAACCTAAATGAGGAAGAGTTCTTATTAAAAGGCAGTGTTCTCCTTCTCCCATAACCCTGTGGAGTTATGGACAATGCTCTAAGGCTCCTCCATAAAACTGATGGATAAAGAGATCCTTCAACTCCAGAAACAGTTAGAAATCAATGGCAAAGGTCAGTGCAGAAAATGGGAAAGTTACTCCTTTTGTACTGGAACCTTTAGGAGGAGCATGCTGGTTAAGGGATTCTGGAATGTATGGTCCCTAAAAACAGAAGTCATCCAAGATCTGGATCACAAAATGGTGCCAAGATGGGACACATTATTTCAGATACTTTGGTGAAGGCCATGGGATGCTCCACAATTCTCTCTGTACTTGGACGACATGGCAAGAGAGACACAGAATGACACATATAGCCCTGAGGAGATATGATAGCCATGTATAAATATGTGAGAGGAAGCCACAGGGAGGAGGGAGCAAGCTTGTTCTCTGCTTCCCTTGAGACTGGGACGCAATGGAAGAATGGCTTCAAACTACAAGAAAGGAGATTCCATCTGAACATGAGGAAGAACTTCCTGACTGTGAGAGCCGTTCAGCAGTGGAACTCTCTGCTCTGGAGTGTGGTGGAGGCTCCTTCTTTGGAAGCTTTTAAACAGAGGCTGGATGGCCATCTGTCAGGGATGCTTTGAATGCAATATTCCTGCTTCTTGGCAGAATGGGGTTGCACTGGATGGCCCATGAGGTCTCTTCCAACTCTATGATTCTATGATTTGTGTTTGTTATTATTGCTGGAGAGAAAGACCTGGATCATTGCCCAGGTGTGCTAGGTCTCAATTAGATCCATTAGAACTTGTAGCAAACCTAGACTGGATCTAAGATGGAAAACTGGAGAGAGTTGCTTGTGTCGAAGAGGGAACTTCAGCAGGAGTTGCTTGTTGTCTTGTTGCACATCAAGCAACACAGTTGAATATTCCCACTTTGATACAACTATTGAAGAAATCACTGGTGTAGAACCTTGTCTTGTATTTCACCTGGCAATACTAACGGGATCCTGTCTACATAGTTGAGTTAGGGTTCATTATGAGCTGGGGAATCTTAGGCATTGGATGAAACATACTGTATATAGGTTGTTGTAGGTTTTTTCGGGCTATATGGCCATGTTCTAAAGGGATTTTCTCCTGACGTTTCGCCTGCATCTATGGCAAGCATCCTCAGAGGTAGTGAGGTCTGTTGGAACTAGGAAAAAGGGTTTATATATCTGTGGAAAGACCATGGTGGGACAAAGGACTCTTGTCTGCTGGAGCTAGGTGTGAATTTTTCAACTGACCACCTTGATTAGCATATAATGGCCCGACAGTGCCTGGAACAAACTTTTGTTGAGAGGTGATTAGATGTCCTTGTTTGTGCTAATCAAGGTGGTCAGTTGAAACATTCACACCTAGCTCCCACAGACAAGAGTTCTTTGTCCCACCCTGGTCATTCCACAGATATATAAACCCTTTTTCCTAGTTCCAACAGACCTCACTACCTCTGAGGATGCTTGCCATAGATGCAGGCGAAACGTCAGGAGAGAATGCCTCTAGACCACGGCCATATAGTCCCAAAAAACCTACAACAACCCAGCGATTCCAGCCATGAAAGCCTTCGACAATATACTGTATATACTCATGTAAAAGTCTAGAAAAATTGATCCCCAAAGTCTGGGCTAACTTATTCACAGGTCAATTTAAGGAATGTACCATAGCTCTTATCAAAAAAGAAGCAAACTTATTTTTTGAGTTGAATGCTGAAAGGTAAGAGTTTAGTTCATTCTGGGAGAACCTAAAAGGGCCCGTCCACAAAGACATATAACCCAGAATATCAAGGCAGATCACCCACAATATCTGTTTTGAACTGGGTTATCTGAGTCCACACTGCTATATAATCCAGTTCAATGTGGATTTTATAGAGCTGTGTAAAAGGGGTCAAAGAAGCACTGGTTGTGTCTATTCTCTCCAAAGTTTCTAGATGGAAAAATATTAGTGGAATGACTCTCAATTTACCCACAAGTTATATCAAAATCCCCAATTATGGACCCCCAAAACTTGCCATTGAGTTATAAATGACGCTGTCTTATACATGAGTATATATGTTATAGTGACTTATACATGAGTATATATGTTATACATGAGTATATATGTTATAGGAAATGGTGTGACATTAAGAACTACCAAAATCCATGGATGCTCAAGTCTCATTATATGCTTTTGGGAATTTTTTTGGGCATATTTTCAAGCTGTGGAAAGTTCAATCCATGGACGTTGTATTCTACATCAACTATTTAGTTCAGTATATAAGGTCCTATCTACACTACCATATAATGCAGTTTGAAACTGCATTATATGATGTTACACTGTTTCAAACTGTATTATATGGCAGTGTAGATGGGGCCTAAGTTAACTAAAGGTGCATCTACACTGTAAAATTACTGCAGTTTGACACTACTCTATAGCACAAGGCTATGGAAACATGGGAATTGTAGTTTTACAAGGTCTGTAGTCTCCTTGCCAATAAGAGCTGGTGCTTCACCAAATGATAACTCCCAGGATTCCATAGCATTGAGCTGTAATAATTAAAGGGGTATCAAATTGCATTAATTCGACAGTGTAGATCAGGCATGGGCAAACTTCAGCCCTCCAGATATTTTGGACTTCAACTCCCACAGTAACACCTTACTGGCTGTTAGGAATTGTGGGAATTGAAGTCCAAAACACGTGGAGGAGGGCCAAAGTTTGCCCATGCCTGCTGTAGATGCACTCATAGTTACCTCTCCAGTGCTGACCTCCACAAACCTAATGGAAATACTCTCCTTCTCTCCAGAAAGCTGATGTTGACAAATCAAATTGGGGGTGGAGTGACAATTGTGACAACGGTATTACAGTTGTGATTAAGTAGCAATTTTGAATACCAAACAATTATCTAAATTAGTTGAAAATGCCAGAAAGTTCCAGATTTTGTTCCTAGTAGATGTACCTTTGGTCAATTTATTTTAACTTAGGATAAGTACAGGAACAGAATCAAGAACATTTCAATAATTCGGGATGCACTCTCACTCATCTGTAACTATTCTGTATTCATAATCACTCCTTAAAATTCATCTATACTGTAAGATTAATCCGGTTTGACTGTACTTTGACTGGAGTGTGGTGGAGGCTCCTTCTTTGGAAGCTTTTAAACAGAGGCTGGATGGCCATCTGTCAGAGGTGATTTGAATGCAATATTCCTGCTTCTTGGCAGAATGGGGTTGGACTGGATGGCCCATGAGATCTCTTCCAACTCTTTGATTCTATGATTCTATACTTTAACATGGCACAATGCTATGGAATCATTGAAGCTGAAGTTGGACACGGTCTTCAGTTGTCTCTGCCAAAGAGTGCTGATACCTCACCAACTTTCAGCTTCCAGAATTCTTTCACATGGAAGGAACCCCCAGTGGCGCAAGGGGTTAAACTTTTGTCCCAACAGAATTGCTGACCGACAGGTCAGTGGTTCGAATCTAGGAGAGTGGGTTGAGCTCCCTCTGTCAGCTCCAGCTCCCCATGTAGGGACATGAGAGAAGCCTCCCACAAGGATGGTAAAAACATCAAAACATCTGCACGTCCCCTGGGCAACATCCTTGCAGACGGCCAATTTCTCACACCAGAAATTACTTGCAGTTTCTCAAGTGACTCCTGACACAAAAAAAATCACATGGAGCCATGTAAGTTAAAATGGTGTCATACTACATCCAGTTCCCAGTGCAGATGCACGCCTAGTTAAGGATAGCAAACTATGCTTAGCAACGGACACTTCTCAGCCTCAGAGAAAGCCAATGCACAAAACTTGCCAAGAAAACCCCAGAATCAGTTCACCTTAGAGTTGCCAACCTAAAAGCAAACAACAACAGTACAATACATGCCTACACCATTATGTTTCCATCAAGGCCACCGGACTAGACGTATCTTAGTTTGACGTCTGAATTAAATTTTCAGTTGCCTCTCAAGCTATATGTAATACTAATCTGGATGTTTTGCCTTGATGTGAACAGTAACCAAGTTTGGCAAGCCCACTCCATATGCATTCATTAACAGAGCATTGTACCCCACCTGGCAATGCGTTAAGAAATTCTCCCTCCCGTCCAAGTTTTCTTGCTGCGCATCTCAGATCTTTCATTCAAATACAAAAGAAAATCCCCCTTTTCCCGACACCCAATAGATAATATGGTAATCTCTTCCTTGCGTTCAAAACCGCGAACAGCCACCTCACCGAACCATTCCATACCTGACACTCGACAGCAGCACACACACAACCCCATTTTCACAATCCCCTTTTGTCAGGTTTTCACAGCTTATATGCGTTTGTTCTGTACTCCCGAGACAGTCGCTTCCCAAGAGAGCGACACTGAAACGTTTTGTTCTTCCCCCCAAAAAGGGGAGAAGGAGCAGCACTGAAATAAATACTGTAAATAAATTAAACAATAAATAAACCCCGAGTCCCCATCCCAACCCACCCCAAGTTTTCTGAAAAAGAGAAAAGAGATCCCGTCTTTCTTCTCCTCTTTCAGCAATCCTGAAAAACAGTCAAGGGTCGTCTTGCCTCGGAGAACATCCGACCCTTTCCAGCAAGACCGGATAACGTTATTGCTTCAGTTGATGATATGGAAAAGGGAGGAGGAGAAAAAGAAAAGAAAACAGGGTTTGAATGTTGCTGGAGTTCAGCGTCGACTGTCAATCTCCTTCCAAACCCATAAAAGTGTTGGATGAAGGAAGAGCATCCAGTGAACTGACTACATCCAAGGTTTTCTCCAAGAACATCCTTCTCCTAACAGAATGGTTTGCGGTTCGTTCCCAAAGTCCTGAGGTTGCCAAACCTTTCAACATTTCACAATGGAAAACTGGGATATGTGTGGCAAAGCGACATCAGAGTGGGTCCAAGTGGCCAAAATTATTAATATGGAAGAACAGGCAAGCTTGGAGATGCTGCAGCAGTTTCCTTTTGCTTGAGTCTACAGGGAAGTGCAAGATTCAATCTGCTCCTCTCTGTTCTGCTGAGTTAACCATGTGCAAACTATTTATCCAATTTTGCAGCAATCGGAGTCAGCTGAGGACAAAGGTGGAAGTGGGTAGGAAACCGGGATATGTTAAAAGCAGCTGAAAAAGCTGGATCGGTTTGGTTGCACTCGTGTTCTCCTTTTGCTTCCTTCGCTTAACTTCGGATCCCTGAATGTGGTTGACGGGGGTCCCTTTTGCTCCCAGGATGAGAGGAAAGGGCCTCTCAGTTTTCCATTTCGCAGCTATGCTCAGCCCCCTTGAAGCAGGCCGACTCGTAGTGCTTGTTGAGGTACGACTTGAGGGCGAAGGTCTTCTCGCACTGCTTGCACTTGTAGTGCTTGAAGGCTGAGTGGGTCTGCATGTGGGCCCGCAGGTTGGAGCGGTCAGCAAAGGCCTTGCCACAGTGAGAGCAGCCGAAAGGTTTCTCACCAGTGTGGGAGCGCATGTGTCCTTGAAGTAGCCAGGGCCGGCTGAAGGCCTTGCCACAGACATCGCACTTGTGTTTCAGGTTGTGGGTCAGGATGTGCATGGCCAGCGCCGGCATGGAGACGTATGCCTTGTTGCAGGTCGGACACTTCCTCGCCATCTTGCTGTCCAGGCTGCGGTGGGTCTGCTTGTGCCGGCTGAGGTTGGACGACGTGGCATAGGTCTTGCCGCATTCATTGCAGGAGTGGCGGTGGCTCCCCCGCCGAGGGCCTTCACTCCGGCGTCGGGAGCGCCCATCAGTGATGAAGAAGGCATCCATTGAGTAGCTCTCGGTGACAGCGGCCTCGCCATGGAAGTAGTGGGAGGAGAGGCTGGACTGGGGGCTCTCCGGGTCACTGTAATCCTCATGGATTGGCACATAGATCGGGTCCGAGGAGGGCAAATGGAGCCCCAGCTTCTTCTTCTCATTCTTGTAGCCAGACGATGAGATGCAACTCTGGAGATAACCTACAAGACACAAAAGAAATGATGTTATTAGGAAAGCTAGTAAAAGAGTTTCAAAAAATCACAGATGCTGAGAAACACAGGTTTGAGCTCTCACATAGTCCTTTCACCTTGTTCTAACCAACATGCCATGCCCATTTATATGCAGACACAAAATAGCACACCAAAGGTTGGGGAGATTTACATTTTAATTGATTACAACCAGGCCCATTTTTTAAGTTATTTATTTATTTATTTATTTATGTACAGCTTTTATATTCCGCCCTTCTCACCCCGCAGGGGACTCAGGACGGATTACAGTGTACACATATATGGCAAACATTCAGTGCCAATTTTTGACATACAAACATATACAGACATACACAGGGGCTATTTAACTTTTTCTGGCCACCAGGGGAGCTGTCGCTTTCATCGTCCATCTGCGACGCTGATGAAGCACTTCCGCATTCCCCGCATGCTTCCCTGATGGAATGTTTGCTGGAGTCTTCTTTATGGCCTCATAAATCAGTTAATTTAACCTCCCCACACTTTAAGGTGGTACCTTATTTCCCAGCTTGACAGTGGCAACTGTCTTTCGGGTTGCAAAGGTTGACAACAGGCTACACACAATTGGTTGGAAACCCACTCCAACCCGGGCTGGCTTTGAACTCATGACCTTTTGGTCAGAGTGATCTTTAATGCAGCTGACACTCAGCCAGCTGCACCACAATCCCGATTATGAAGAGAAGGTCTATAATACAAAATAACTTAAACTCTATGACTCTTTCTACATTTTATATAGACTATATGATTATATGAAATCAAATTTCTTTTTTATCTGCAAAGTTCCAAGTCTAAAAAACCCCCTAAAAATGGCTCTCAATTGGTAATTTAGTGTTTACAAAAGAATACCACAACACCTGTTGGAAACACTTGAAAACTGTGTCAATACACTTTTGATAGACTCTTCCAATAAACTTCAGTGGATACTCCAGAGTGCAAGTCCAGTCAGTCTTTCTTACCCCATAGTGTTTTCAAACACTTAAGAGCTGAAAACAAACTTTTATTTGTAGCTCTTGACACTGACAATGTTGCAGAAATCTGAAGTAGCTTCTTCGTATTTGGAAAAACACTGTCTATTACAGACAATATCTTTTCAGTGCAATTCTGCTGGTACAATCTTTTTTCCATTTTCTACACCACAGGTCAAACCCTTCCCATCAGTATGTCAGCACCTTAGAAAATGTTGACCATTTCTGCTACCTTGGCAGCCACCTCTCCACCAAAGTCCGACACCGAAATACAACACTGCCTGAGCTCTGCAAGTGCAGCATTTTTCCAAATGAAGCAGAGAGTGTGTGAGACAAACTCAGCTGAAAATGTTTGCATGGCCACCCTGTATTCCCCAAATTTAGGCAGCCTGTGAGCTTGGAATGACACTCACCATCGCCCTTCGGCTCTCATCATAGCCATGGCTGGCTAGTGACATAGCTAGTGTCTGTCACTCATCACCTGGAGTGATGTTGGTGATTGGAGAAGAGAAGGGACAATTCTTCCTCTTTTCTTCCCTAGTCTACATCACTCCAGGGGATGAACGATGAACAGTAGCCACGTCAACACAATCAGACACAGTGAAGACATCTGCCCTTGTACTATGCTACTCTGCTGCTGAGTACGCATGCCCAGAGTGGAACACATCTCACCACACTAAAACAGTAGATGTGGCTCTTAATGAGACATGCCGCATTATCATGGGGTGTCTGCACCTACACCACTGGCGAAATTACACTGCTTAGCCAGTATTGCACCACCTGACATCCGCTGGGAAGTAGCAGCCAATAGTGAAAGGACCAAGGCAGAAACATCTCCAGCTCATCCCCTGTTTGGGTATCAGCCAGCACGTCAACGACTTAAATCAACAAATAGATTTCTAAGATCTACAGAGACGCTCGCTGGAACACCTCAGCAAGTGAGAATCCAAAAGTGGCAGGCTCAAACCCAGAACCTCAACCAGTGGCTGATACCAAATGAGAGACTCCCCCCTGGGCACACAGAAGATGGGGCGACTTGGAAGGCGCTGAACAGACTGCGCTCTGGCACCACGAGATGCAGAGCCAACCTTAAGAAATGAGGCCACAAAGTGGAATCCACGACACGCGAGTGCGGAGAAGAGCAAACCACAGACCACCTGCTGCAATGCACCCTGAGCCCTGCTACATGCACAATGGAGGACCTCCTTGTGGCAACACCAGAGGCACTCCAAGTGGCCAGATACTGGTCAAAGGACATTTAATCAACTATCAAGCTTGCAAACTTTGTGTTTTGTCTGTCTGTTTGTTTGTTTTGTTAAAAATGTTATAATCAACTACCAAACTTGCAAATTTTGTGTTTTTTGTCCGTTTGTTTGTTTTGTTTTGTTAGAAATGTAATACAATTGATTGGTTGCCCTGACCCAACAAATAAATAAATAAGCCACGTCATGCCTGCTGACCAATACAAGGAGAATGGGATGGGAATGCTAAGGATGACCGTCCAGCAGCACTAAACTGTATTTGACACCATTGGACTGTCAGGACTCCTACTCACCCACTGGTGGAGTGGGATGGGTGGGCTAGTACTCAAAACCATCGTGAGACTAATCTGGAATTTGACACTCTGAATTACCCCCAGAATATATGGTTTTGGAGCTAACTGCTTTTGGAGTCTTCCGGCTTGGTGTAACCACACTTCCTATCCTTCCCAGCTGTCTTGGCCAAAAGCATGTGCCCAATGTCTAAAGGCCATTCAGTGGAGGAAGGCATTACATGTCTATTTGGTAGCCAGTGTTATATATTCTTCCATATATATATATATATATATATATATATATATATATATATATACATACATATACACATACATGGACAAGTGTGCTGACCTGACTCGGCTCGGCGTCTCCCTCCATCAGTGGAGAGGAAATTGGACAAGAAAGGCCGGCAAAAGAGGCTCCCCCTTGCCTTTCCACTTCAGTTCCTCTTATTTCCCCAGAGAAGGCAGGACAAGCACATCTTATTGCTGTGGAAAGGCATGCATGATGCTCCTTTGTTTGCCGAGCTCTTTCCAAGCCTCATGCGCCCAGTGCTGGCAGAATTAGCTGTCGTCAAAAGCTTTGCTGGAAAAGGAAATTAGCTCTCTCTGTGTGTCTGTACCAGACAGAGATTTCTTTCCCTTTAATCCCCCGGGTTTTTCGTTTCCCAATAAATGTATTTTGCATTCTGCTAGCCGAGATATGGGAACCCAGCCTCCCCGCATTGCACCTTGGGTTATGCCCTGTTTTCAGGCTTAACAGATCTAACAAGCCAGACAGAGCCCAGTGGACAGAGCTTGGAAAGCCTATTTCTTTGGAATCTATATTTTTCACATACTAAAAAGATATGAAAGCTTTGCAGTAACCCAACTAAAACAGCTTGCAACAATGGAAACTAGAAGCATATAAACTCTAAAAATAGCCAGTTGATATCACATAAAGGATTCATAAAGCCTCAATGAATTTCATGTTTGGACTTGGGTCTCAGCTCCAATATATCTCATAATATAGGCAAATACAAGTATTCCAAAATCCGATAATCGTCGAAATTCTGAACACGTCTGGTCCTAAGTATTTTAAATAAGGGATACTCAACCTGTAGTTTGTAGTTTCAGTTGGATGCCCAGTGAATTGCAGTATGTAGGTGCAATATAGTGGGTTATTTGTTGAATTAAGTCTCTGGAAGATGAGGGCTTGCATTCCCACTCAGCTATGGAAACCTACTGTGTGATTTTGGGCAAGGTCACTGTGCTGTCATGCGCTGGACCTGTGAAAGAGTCTGCAGACAGGACGTGTTTTCTGAATGCCCAACAGGACGCCAGGGGTGCCTCGGCTGAGAGGCCTTTCGGATTTCCCCACACAAAGTTCTTTTAAAGACTTAGAAATTTCAACAAAGTTTTTATTGTCGCTTAAATCTTCAATAAATCAAACAAAGACTTCAAGGCTTTGAATCAACTGGTGGCTTGCTTAAATCTTGTCCACAAGGGACAGGCAACTTTTTTCATAAACTGTTTCTTCCTTCTACAAGGGAAATCCTTGACCCTTCCCTGGGCAATCTGGCTTAAGCTCTGCTGGCGCGGGCTCCTACACCCGGTCCAAATTGCTTTATGGCTTCCGTGGGTGGTCCTTACCAAATAGAGTCCTTTAGTAGATTTCCAAGAGGAAAGAAGGCTTTCAATTCCCAGCAAAGACTGGCTGTAAAACGGTGGAGCTGTATTTCTCCAGCAAAGAGCTGGCTGTAGAGTTGTGGAACTAAATTCTCCAACAAAGGCTATGCTTTAGAGCTGTGGGACTTCACGTCCTGTACGAAAGGCTTCTCTGTGTGAACTGAACTAGAGGTCCCCTTTTTCCCTCCTTAACCCAGAAAAAGGGGTGGAACTAAGGAACATAATGATAATTGATGGGTCATTGGCCCTATTATTGCAAACTAAGGGAAGCCACCTTATTGCAAAATGCATGGAACTTTGGAATACATGCAAACACTCAATAGAAAAGAAAAGAAGTTGGAGCTCCTGGTACAGCCGTACCAGCATGGCCACACTCTCTCAGCCTCAGAGGAAGACAAAGGCAAAGCCACCAGGTGTTTTATGTGTGTGTCAGGAACGACTTGAGAAACTGCAAGCCGCTTCTGGTGTGATAGAATTGGCCAGCTACAAGGATGTTACCCAGGGGATGCCTGGATGCTTTTGATGTTTTACCATCCTTGTGGGAGCTTCTCTCATGTCCCCACATGGGGAGCTGGAGCTGACAGAGGGAGCTCAACCTGCTCTCCTTGGATTTGAACCGCTGACCTGTCAGTCAGCAATCCTGCCGGCACAAGGGTTTAACCCACTGTGCCACTGGGGCTCCAGGTAAAAAAAACCACAAGTGTATTTTGACATCCAATTTGAGTACTGGATGTACGACTTGGAGAGACCAAGGTTTGAATCCCTGCTCAGCCATGGAAACAGTCTGTCAT